ACGGTGATCTCTACTCCTTTCATGTCCTGTCCTCCTCACTGTTTCCGCTCTCCTCTTTTTTTACTGTCCCCTCAATCTTTTCTTCTGTCTTCTGTCCCCTCTCCTCAATGTATCCTCCTCTCTATCTCCGTCCTCCTCTCCTCTTTGTCGCATGTCCTTCTCACTGTCTCTCTTCTCGTTGCGGTCCTTGCTGATTCTTCCCCTCACTGTCTGCTCTCTTCTCGTTTTTTCTCCTCATCTCCTCTCCTCACTGTCTCCCAATTTCTCTACCTCATTGTTTTTCTTTTCTCTTCTCATTTATTTTCTCCTAACTGTCTGTTCCCCTTAAAGTCCCTTCTTTCTCCTCTCCTCTTAGTCTCCTTCATCAGTCTCCTTGCCTAACTCTCCTGACCCCTCTCTGTTATCCTCTCTTCTCTTTACAGTCTCCTCTCCTTCTTTCATCTCTTATCTCCTCACTGTCGCTCTGCTCTTTCCTATCTTTACATTCTCCTCTCTATTTTACGTCTATTCTTCTCTTCCTTTCATCTCTTCTCTACCTCACTGACCAATGTCTTCTCCTTCCCTCTCCTTCATTCCTTTCTGTTTCCTTGCTCTCTCTCTCTCTCCTCACTGTTTCTTCTCTCTTCCCTTCTCCTCACTGTCTCCTCTTCGCTCATGGAGTAGAGAAGTTGATTGAGGGTTTGAAGTCTCCAGAGCTTTCTTCCTCCCTGATCCTCCCTGACCTTCCCTTGAATGACCCCTTCAGCCCTGCAGACAGTAGTCATGGTAATCAGCCGCTTGTCTGTTTATTGTTGTTTTTGTTTTTTTTATTGCCCATAATAACCCTACAACTGATGAATGGCCTTCATTGGTGTTTTAATGGTGATTGTTTTCTTAGTTCAGCTCAGAGTAACACCTGGAACTCCTGGATCGTCCCCATTTCTGTCTATTCTTATAACCCCACTGCGGTTTCATCTCTTCTTCGTCTGTATAGTTGTTGTAAACGTTGTGTTCATCAGGCATCTGTATATCTTTGAATGATCTGGTTTAAAGAGTGCTGCTTCATGCATGGAGTGAATTGACATCACTAAGACCATCTCTCTCACCTTTACATTTGCTACGTAAAACGTCAAATTTGTCTTTTCTTTTTTTTTCTTTCTGCAGTTGGGACGGATTCTCTGATCCCTGGTCTGGATCCTCTACAGACTGATCCTGGGTCAGCTGCACTGCCAGGTCAGCAATTCTGTAAATATTCTCCTTTTATACAGTAGCTCACTGTAAATCTGCTGACATTGGAAAAATCTGCAAGGTGTACTGGATGCCATTTTATCAACGTCCATTGAAATAATTACTTACCATTGTTATTACTCCAAGTATTACATTTTAGTCAAAACTGCTACCGAAGCATGGATGGTGCTGTCGCAGTTCTTTTTGGTAGGGTTACTTTTTTCACCGATCGGCTGGATCTTAATCCCTTTTATTAAAGGGATAGTTCACTTTGAAATTAATTTTTGATATGTTTTAGCTTACCTCAAGGGCATCCAAGATGTAGGCGTCTTTGTTTCCACAGTATTTTCAATTTTGACATTTTTCAGTCAAACCGTTGTTGTCTGTCAGTCATACACTGTCAATCATGCACAGAGAAGTCCAAATTAAACATGATTTAATGACTCGTAAATGTAAGTACACATTGATGGCCTAAGACACGAAACGAGCGGTTTGTGTGAGAAAATGAACAGTATTTATATCGTTTTTACCTCTTGTAATCATAGCCATGACAAAATGATCTGACGGCACGGGCGCTTCGGTCTACACATGCGCTGGTAGTGATCGCTTGCGCGCCTACGTCACTCTTTGTTTATACAGAGATTTCGGAAGTGTTACCTTTCACTAAACATATTTAGATATACGGGAAACCGCAATGGAAGACGATTTCGGTATATCTAAATATGTTTAGTAAAAGGTAAAACTTCCGAAATCTCCGTGTAAATATTGATTGACGTCACACGCAAGCGATTACTTCTGGCGTAACATTGAACTGATTCAGTTCGGTTCAGTCGGACATTGCACAACTGATTCAGATCACTTGGACGTCACTGTGATTACACGAGGTAAAAACGATATAAATACTGTTCGTTTTCTCACACAAACCGCTCGTTTCGTGTCTTAGGCCATCAATGTGTACGAGTCATTAAATCATGTTTAATTTTGACTTCTCTGTGCATGCTCTTTGGTGGACCCCCTTAGCCTCCAGTGTATTACTGATAGACAACAACGGTTTGACTGAAAAATGTAAAAATTGAAAATACTGTGGAAACAAAGACACCTACATCTTGGATGTCCTTGAGGTAAGCTAAAAAATACCAAAAATTAATTTCAAAGTGAACTATCCCTTTAAGATTGGTTTGGCATATTTTCTGCTCTGTTTCAGGTATTAGTCTTTGAAGTTATTAGATTTTCACCCCAGTGTTTTCTATGTACCATGAATTAGAGCAGGATCTTTGGTCCATTAGAATCCTTTATTCACTGTGGTGTTCTTAAAAAAGGGAATCAACAACAGTTCAGTTGCACTGATGAAAAAATGCTGATACTTTCTGCACAGTAACCTCACCTGTCCTTGTTCGCAGTAAAGCAGCTTGTCATCGCTTGTTGATGATAACATGTGGATGGTTTAGTTGAATGATGAGTAATTAATTATTTTGGCAGCAAAAAGAATGGCACGTTGTTGTTCATGCTGAGGCGATGACCTACATAATATTCCTTTAAAAGCCGCAAAGTGCTGTGTCACCTTTCTTGGTCCTGTCCAGTTTGGACTGTGTTGTTTTCTGTTTGTATTGTGTGTGTCACCACCTGGTGACTAAATAGCAAACTACATCCCAGTGTGTGTCAATGTCAAATACATTCATAGGTTATTCCCAGTGTGTCTTATTGTGGGCCTGTTGGTTGTACTTGTACAATAGCCTATGCTGTAGCACTCTAGTTGTAATTTGTTTTATTTGCATCACTGACATCGTTATGGTCCCTAAAATTTATTTTGAAGCTTGAAAGCATTTATTCAGTAAAAGCAGAGACAATTTATATAGAGACATGCCACTTCCTCAATCCTCAATACTAGATATGGGAAAACCCGTAACGCTAAAGATATGGCGGTTGTATGCACATGCCCCGCCCCTCCCTCTGGAAAGCCAATCGTCTGCTTTTAACAGTCAAGCCGGGAAACATGTAAGCCTATCGTCTGGTTCCAGTGACGCATGCGCACAGTTGATGTTTGCGACAGCGGAGACCAGAACCCTTGCACATGCGTAGTAAATGTATAACCTGTGGGGGAAAAGGCCTTTTAAACCTTATTTTGGGGCAAAGTCCTCAAACTTTTTCAGCGTTTTTTTTTTTTTTTTATCATATTTTACTGCTGTTTCTATACAAGCAGTTTTTATGTCCCGGTGACCAGTGAAAGTGCAGTTCTGAGTATCTGCCCATTCATTTTGATAGGAGCCTGGTCTTGTTAGTCCGAAATAGCTGCCTGGAGGCGTTGCCAAGATGGCTGCCGAGTGGTACGACTTGCCTAAAAGGACTTTGGTAATAGACAGGAATATTTGTTTTACTCTTTCAAGACAAGTGGTTTCAGGCTTCAAACATAATTTGCAGAAGTGTGAGAATTCAGACACAAGTGTTTGGCCGCTGTACATATTTAAAATGTACTCTTACATTGCTCTAGTGGTACAAACCGTAATAATGGAATCCAGTAATAAAAATAGAATTTACCGTATAGTGCCGAATGTCACGAAATGTGGCAAAATTTGAATTAATAAATAAGTAGGACTGAATAAGTGGTGTTTTCGGCATCTGCCGTCTCACTGTATGAGGACATGAACGCATTAAAAGATAAAATGAATAGTTAAAGGAGTAGTTCACTTTTAAAAAAAATTTGCTGATAACTTACTCACCCCCATGTCATCCAAGATGTCCATGTCTTTCGATCTTCAGTCGAAAAGAAATTAAGGTATTTGATGAAAACATTCCAGGATTTTTCTCCATATAATGGACTTCAATGGGAACCAAACGGTTCAAGGTCCAAAAGACAGTTTCAGTGCAAACTGCAAACTGTTCAAAGGGCTTTAAACGATTCCAGATGATGAATAAGGGTCTTATCAAGCGAAACGATCGCTCATTTAAAAAAACAAAACAAAGTTTAAGTTTAATAAGCTCGTTTAATGCCCTTTCAACAGTTTGCAGTTTGTACTGAAAGTTTCGTTTGGACCTTGAACTGTTTGGTTCCCATTGAAGTCCATTATATGGAGAAAAATCCTGGAATGTTTTCATCAAAAACCTTCATTTCTTTTCGACCGAAGAAAGAAGGACATGGACATCTTGGATGACATGGGGGTGAGTAAATTATCAGCAAAAGTTTTTTTTAAAGTGAACTAATCCTTTAAAGTTTAATGCTGTAATTTTATAACCACTTTTTTGATAATACGTTTGTATTAAATCATAAAATGTAAAATGAGGGGACCAAATGAGGGAACAGATGAAAAACACTTATGACGATTAAATAAATGTCCATGACAACAAATGAGAAGCAGGAAACTGAAACAAAGGAATACAGGAACTACCGAGTACAAATTAAAAGTCCATGAAAATTAAACTAAAACACATCTAAATATATGTGATGTACTTGTATATAAATATAATATATATACACATACATAAATTATATAAACTCATTTTAAGTTCGATTGACATCGCTAGCACTAGTTCTGACACATTTTGAACAGCTTTCGTAGAGCATGTTGTGGGTCTCATTCACTTCTGCTGCAGAGCTTCTCTCTGATTTCTCACGGTCACCTTCTACCCATCCTCTTCATACTTCTCTTGCACTCTGTTTTATCTGTCCCACCTGAACCTTGTGGATGTCTTTTTGTTTGTAACTCTGTCTTTATATTCTCAATATTGTATTACTGTTGTCACTCATCCTTCTGTTCTCTATCATTCTTTATTCTTCATGCTTGCCCTATGTCCTCCAGAGTCCCTGGTTGGACAGGATTATCTTTTGGATGGGCCGCTTCTCTCCCTCCCCTCCACTGGGGGTCTAATACTGGCTTCATCCCCCTCATCTCTTCCTGCACCATCTATGGACCAGTTTACCATTACTGCTTTGAGCAGTGGACAGTCCCACCAGGGTTAGAACCGTATGCATACTCACCTCAGTTGTAACAAGCCATAGATTGTAAAGTTTTATTTTTTTATTTTTTTTACAAATAGGAAAATGGTGAAAATTTATGCTCAGAATAAGCCTTGACAAATTAAAAGTAGGGTAGGCAATTTTTCGGAGAGGCTAGCAATACTGAGCTAGCTTTGAAAGCACAAGATCCCATCCTCCCTTCAGAGCATCACCAAAGCCACACCTCCTTCAAAACATGAACACTTGAGACAGTGTTAAACTATCTCATGTCTCACAGCACATAAAATTACAATAATAACATCACAACTAGGCCTGTTGGAACGAATTCCGAAATTCGTATATAATTCGAATATTAAAAATATCAATACTATTCGAATGCTGAAGTTACTGTTCGAATATTTTTTTTTATGTATATTTTTAAATTTTCTTTAAAGGGTTAGTTCACCCAAAAATGAAAATTCTGTCAGTATTTACTCACCCTCATGTTGTTCCAACCCCGTAAGGCCTTCGTTCGTCGGAACACAAATTAAGATATTTAAGATGAAATCTGAGAGCTGGATCACTCCTGTATACTAGTCCATAGGCTTCTTGAGGGATTGAAACTTGCCGTCCTCGAAAAGTTATTAAAGACATTGTTAAAATAGTCCAAGTGACTACAGTGGCTCAATCTTAACTTTATCAAACGACGAGAACACTTTTTGTGCGCAAAAACAAACAAAAATAATGACTTTATTTCAACTATTCACTTCCTTCTCTATGAACCTCTAGTCAGTTAACGTAGTGTGATAGCGTAGAGCTACGTCACACGTAGGCTCACTATTGGCCGACGCTGGTCGTGTGTGATGCGTGTGACGTACAACAACAGATGCTTACGCTATTAAACTAGTAACATAAGTCGAGGCAAAGAGAGAAGTAAATGAATAGTTGAAATAAAGTCGTTATTTTTGTTGTTTTTTTGCGCACAAAAAGTTTTCTTGTCATTTGATAAACTTAAGATTGAGCCACTGTAGTCGCTTGGACTATTTTAACAAAGTCTGTAACAACTTTTCGGGGCCGGCAAGTTTCAATCCCTCAAGAAGCCTATGGACTAGTATGGAGGAATGATCCAGCTCTAAGATTTCATCAAAAATATCTTAATTCGTGTTCTGAAGATGAACGAAGGTCTTACGGGGTTGGAACAAGATGAGGGTGAGTAAATACTGACAGAATTTTCATTTTTGGATGAACTAACCCTTTAAAATTCGCCTTGTCTTACACGCATGTGAAAATGAAATGCCTTTGTTTCGTCTGATGAACAATAAAGTTTTTGAATCGTAACACAAGTGTGCACGTTATCCACGATGTATCATCATAACAACTGTCAAAAATGGTAACCTAAATGTTTAACGACGTAAAAAGTGCCCTCCAAAGGGCCTGTGAAGCGAAAAAAAGAAATATCTCAACGGATTCGGTGTGGATCGAGCTTGTTGGAATCTTCTAGTCGAACTGAAAAGAACGATGTAAGTTTCAGAATTTTTGGTGGTGCTTTCGCGTGATATCAGCCGAAAACCATTGGAAGCGCTTCAACCATATTCACCATAAATAAAATGCGTATTAGATGTCCCTCTAGTGGACCGAACGTGTAATAATAACTACATGCTATAGTGGCATTGGCGATCCATAAGCATGTGTAATGTTGTAAATATTAATAATAGGATCATTTTTAGCATTTAATATTCGAATATTATTTGAATATTAAATAAAACAAGGAATGGAATTCGAATAGTATTATAGAGGAAGATTGACAGCCCTAATTACAACTTAAAGAGCGTTCACCTGTACCACCTGACTGCTGCAGATTCATTTCAGCATTGATAGTGTTGCCATTGAAATGCACAAGTTCGAGTCCCGAACCACTCCGAGTATAACGCCTACATAGCATGAAACGCACTTATGTGTAATGTCTGCACGGATGCATGGAAATACATACGTTGACAGCCAGTAGGACATTGTATCATTGCATTTGGAACGAGGGCAATGATTGGACAAACATTTTATTGTCCTATGCCTTGTATACAGACGATGTACATACAAATACATTTAGACCACTCAACTTAATGATTACTATCAGGAGGTAAAGAAACTTTCAACCCGCATATCAAAAAATAAAAAAAAATTCTGGAACAAATTGCTTACCCTGTTCACTAGATAGTTCACTTTGAAATTAATTTTTGGTATTCCGCAGTAGTTTCAATTTTGATATTTTTAGGTCAAACCGTTCTTGTCTGTCAGTCATATAATGGAGGTCTATGGTCACCACCTCAAAGAGCATGCACAGAGAAGTCCAAATTAAACACGATTTAATGACTTGTATATAAATATATACTTATAAATATATACAATATAAATACTGCTCGTTTTCTCACACAAAACTCGTTTTATGTCTTAGGCAATCAATGTGTACTTACATTTATGTGTCATTAAATCACGTTTAATTTGGACTACTCTGTGCATGAGGTGGTGACCATAGACCTGCATTATATGACTGATAGACACACAAACAATTTGACCTAAAAATATCCAAATTGAAACTACTGCGGAAACAAAGACTTAGGTAAGCTAAAACACACCAAAAATGTATTTCAAAGTGAACTATCCCTTTAAAGCACTATATTTCTGGAAGTCTATTGCTTATTAAGGACCATGTCTTGCATTATCTACCTGTTCTTGCTTATCTATAATCACTCTTTTTTTTCCCCTCTCTAACACTCTTCCTAATCTTTTTTTTTTTTTTTTTTTTTTTTTTCCTCTCCATCGGTCTGCTGTGGCACTAACCTCTTCCTGCAGCCTCTCCCCTCTCAAGCCTCCAGTGCTCTGAGACTGGGGACCAAAGCTCCGATAACCAGTTTGATCCAATTCCAGTGCTTATCTCCAAAAGCTCCAGCCAAGGTAAGGGAGTTTGGATATCAGCAAAAGTTTTTGGAAGAGAGCACATGATTTCTTTACTGCATCTAATTCACATTGAACAGTAGGCATATGTTTGCAAACTTTTTGAGTGATCACAGTGAAGTGGTAGTGTAGAGTTAGATTGTTCTGAGAGACTGGTGTTTTTGACGTCATTGAACAATCGTTTAAGTAGAAGCTGATTGACCTGGCTTTGAGTAATGCAAAAGAATAGGAAATACTCCTTTGACACATGCTTAAATTTCTCTCTCAATCGTGAACTTTCCTCGCTCTGTCGCTGTCACTGTCATATTTCAAGAAAAACTCAAAAGGCATTGGGACATTTATTTTCCCAAATTCTCAATACTTTTTATATCTTAATATAATCCTTCATTAGTCAGTGGTTATTCTCGCTAAAAATAAATAAATAAACCTTCAATTCTGTAATACAGATTTTTTTAGATCGTAATTTTTAATATGTATTATAAATAAACACATAACTTATTTTTATTGTGTATACACTACCATTCAAAACTTTGGGGTCAATATTTTTTCAAGAAATAGTAACACTTTTATTCAGCAAGGATGCATTAAATAGTTCAAAAGTGACAATAAAGACATTTATAATGTTCTATTTCAAATTAATGCTGTTGTTTGAACTTTTCATTCATTAAAGAATCCTGAAAAGATATGTATATAGGTTTTCACAAAAATATTAGGCAGCACAACTGTTTTCAAGATTGATAAGAAATGCTGCTTGAGCAGCAAATCAGCATATTAAAATGATTTCTGAAGGATCATGTGACACTGAAGACTGGAGTTATGATGCTGAAAATTCACCTTTGATCGCGGGAATAAAATTACATTTTAAAATACATTAAATAAATAACTTTTTTATTTTAATATTTCAAATAAAACATTAAAAAATAAGAATTTCTAAAATGTAAAAAATCTTATTGACCCCAATATATATTCCTAAAATTGGTTTAATTTTCTTAATGCTAAATATAATTGATATGACATTTCTTTTAGTTTTGTGGTAAAATTGGATATGGCTTTTAAGATATTCAAGTATATGGTTGTCAATATATTAAATATTCATTGTGAACCACGAGTAGCATCAGAGCGAAACATACTGTAATTCTCCAAAACTTTAGACTTTGGTTTCTCTTTATTTTGATGGTCCCCTTTAGACATTCTGCTGACTATAAGTAACGTTGCTACTACATGCATGTCAACTAACTCTCATTAGAGGCTCGGTTCTCTTATGGTGCTATTACACAACATGGTACGGTTCGGTACAATACACTTTGGCGCTTTTCCATCGCATGGTACGGTACGGCTCGGTTCGGTACAATACACTTTGGTGCTTTTCTACTGCACGGTATGGTACGGTACGGTTCGGTTCAGTACAATACACTTTGGCGCTTTTCCACTGCATGGTACGGTACGGCTCGGTTCGGTATGGCACACTTTGGTGCTTTTCTACCGCACGGTATGGTACGGTTCGGTTCAGTACAATACACTTCAGCGCTTTTCCACTGCATGGTACGGCTCGGTTTGGTACGACACACTTTGGTGCTTTTCTACTGCATGGTATGGTACGGCTCGGTTCGGTATGGCACGCTTTGGTGCTATTCCACTGCATGGTACGGTTCGGCTCGGCTCACTTATGGCGCTTTTCCACCACATGGTATGGTATGGTTCAGTACGGAACGCTTTGGTGCTTTTCCACTGCATGGTACGGCTCTGTTCGGTACAGCACACTTTGGCGCTTTTCCACCGCATGGTACGGTACGGCTCGGTTTGGTACGGCACACTTTGGTGCTTTTCTACTGCATGGTACGGTACGGCTCGGTTCGGTACGGCACGCTTTGGTGCTATTCCACTGCATGGTACGGTTCGGCACGGCTCACTTATGGCGCTTTTCCACCGCATGGTACGGTATGGTTCAGTACAGAACGCTTTGGTGCTTTTCCACTGCATGGTACGGTACGGCTCGGTGCGGAACACTTTGGCGCTTTTCCACTGCATGGTTCGGTTCAGTACGGAACGCTTTGGTGCTTTTCCACTGCATGGAACGGCTCTGTTCGGTACGGCACACTTTGGCGCTTTTCCACCGCATGGTACGGCTCTGTTCGGTACAGCACACTTTGGCGCTTTTCCACCGAATGGTACGGTACGGCTCGGTTTGGTACGGCACACTTTGGTGCTTTTCCATTGCATGGTACGGCTCGGTTTGGTACGACACACTTTGGTGCTTTTTTACTGCATGGTACGGTACGGCTCGGTTCGGTACGGCACGCTTTGGTGCTATTCCACTGCATGGTACGGTTCGGTTCAGTACGGAACGCTTTGGTGCGATTCCACTGCATAGTACGGTTCGGCACGGCTCACTTATGGCGCTTTTCCACCGCATGGTACGGTATGGTTCAGTACAGAACGCTTTGGTGCTTTTCCACTGCATGGTACGGTACGGCTCGGTGCGGAACACTTTGGCGCTTTTCCACTGCATGGTTCGGTTCGGTTCAGTACGGAACGCTTTGGTGCTTTTCTACTGCATGGTTCGGTTCGGTTCAGTACGGAACGCTTTGGTGCTTTTCCACTGCATGGAACGGCTCTGTTCGGTACGGCACACTTTGGCGCTTTTCCACCGCATGGTACGGCTCTGTTCGGTACAGCACACTTTGGTGCTTTTCCACCGAATGGTACGGTACGGCTCGTTTTGGTACGGCACACTTTGGTGCTTTTCCACTGCATGGTACGGCTCGGTTTGGTACGACACACTTTGGTGCTTTTCTACTGCATGGTACGGTACGGCTCGGTTCGGTACGGCACGATTTGGTGCTATTCCACTGCATGGTACGGTTCGGCACGGCTCACTTATGGCGCTTTTCCACCGCATGGTACGGTATGGTTCAGTACAGAACGCTTTGGTGCTTTTCCACTGCATGGTACGGTACGGCTCGGTGCGGAACACTTTGGCGCTTTTCCACTGCATGGTTCGGTTCGGTTCAGTACGGAACGCTTTGGTGCTTTTCCACTGCATGGTACGGCTCTGTTCGGTACGGCACACTTTGGCGCTTTTCCACCGCATGGTACGGCTCTGTTCGGTACAGCACACTTTTGCGCTTTTCTACCGCACGGTATGGTACAGTACGGTTCGGTACAATACACTTCCGCGCTTTTCCACTGCATGGTACGGTACAGTACTGTTCGGTACAATACACTTTGGTGCTTTTCTACTGCATGGTATGGTACAGTACTGTTCGGTACAATACACTTTGGTGCTTTTCCACTGCATGGTACGGTACGGCTCGGTTCGGTGCGGCACGCTTTAGTGCTATTTCACTGCATGGTACGGTTCGGCTCGGCTCACTTATGGCGCTTTTCCACCGCATGGTACGGTATGGTTCGGTAAGGCACGCTTTGGCCCTTTTCCATCGCATGGTACGGTTCGGTACGGAACACTTCGGCGCTTTTCCACTGCATGGTATGTTCTAGGTGGTCACCATAAGGTATGTCATGGTATGTCCGGCATGTTCTAGGTGGTCACTTTGGTGCTTTTCCACTGCATGGTGCGGCTCGGTTCGGTATGGCACACTTTGGCGCTTTTCCACCGCATGGTACGGTTCGGTACGGCACGCTTTGGTGCTTTTCCACTGCATGGTACGGTACGGCTCGGTTCGACTTGGCTCGGTTCACTTATGGCGCATTTTCACTGCATGGTACTGTACGGTACGGTAAGGTAAGGTACCCTTTGGTGCTTTTCCACTGCACGGTACGGTACGGCTTGGTTTGGCTCGGCTCACTTATGGCACTTTTCCACAGCATGGTACGGTTTGGTACGGCACGCTTTGGTGCTTTTTTCCACTGCGTGGTACGGTACGGCTCGGTTCTGCTCGGCTCACTTATGGCGCTATTCCACCATATGGTACGGTATGGTTTGGTACGGCACGCTTTGGTGCTTTTCCACTGCATGGTACGGTACGGCTCGGTTCGACTTGGCTCGGCTCACTTATGGCGCATCCACTGCATGGTACTATACGGTAAGGTTCGGTACGGCACACTTTGGCGCTTTTTCACTGAATGGTACGGTACGGCTTGGTTTGGCTCGGCTCACTTATGGCACATTTCCACTGCATGGTACGGTACAGTACAGCTCGCTTCGACTCAGACACGACTCGATTTGTCAGACAGAATCGTCACTACCAGCGTCATTGTATTTGCAACGTGAGAAACCAAACCCTCTAGATTTAAATAGCCAGTAACAGCCACCGCTGTAGCGACTGCTTTTAAACTAATCCCACCCACTTTTAAAGCGGTACTAACTGCAGTGGAAAAGCAACCGAGCCGCGCCGAGACGAGTCGTACCACGCCGTGGAAAAGCACCATTAGTACATTGTTATGCTACGTTCACACCGGACGCGAATCGCGCGTCAAATTCGCGCCTGACGCGTCTGGTTTGACGCTTGACCACTTTGTGTTAATTCGCGTGTCAAGAGCGAAATCCGTTGGCGGCCATTGTTTTTATGTCGACCGAGCATTCATCCAGAGAGTTACCGCTCTGTATTTACTCTGGAGAGCAGAACAGCGGCGTGGGGATCATCGTCGCCGTATATTTGTGTCCACCGGACCCTTCAGAGCCGAACCGTTTGGCGAGTTTCACCATTTGCTCGCTCCAGGAGCTGCGCTGGATGACGGCCGCTGTCAGCGGTACTTCCGCCTGTCCCGCGCCCAGTTTGATGACATGTTGTCCCGCATCGGAGCGAGGATCACCCTCGCCCTCATCCATCTAATCTAGCTGTCATTTATTTTTTGTTTTGATGATAAATAGAGCCAGCCTTCAAAAGTTATTAACCTGTCCTGTGATTTTTCTCTCTCTCACGTCCAGACACGAATTTATACACACATGTTGATTGTCTTTACAACATAATACTATTTCATATAATCTAGCTATGGAATGAATAACATTCAATACAAAATGAACATGTCTCGTATATAGA